GGAATTCCTTCCCAATATCCCATCTAAATTTCCCCTCTTTCACTTTGAAGCCATTCCCTGTGTCCTGTCCCTCCATCCCTTGTCCCACATCCTTCTCTAGCTCTCCTGTAACCCCTTCAGGCCCTGGAAGGGGCCCTTGGGCACTCCCAGGGCTGGGGCAGCCACAACTTCTCTGGGAATTCCATCCCAGCCCTCCCCACCCTCCCAGGGAATCTGTTCCTGGGTGTCAAAGCCACTTCTGGAGTTTCAATCCAGACCTTCTCCAGGCGCTGCTCCCAGCGAGGCTGGATTTGAGCTTGGCAGGGATGGAAAAGGGTTGGAATTCCCTCCATGCCACCCCATCTCTGGGCTTCTGAGCCCTGTGAGCTGGTGCTGGGAGGCAGGTGGGAACACCCCTGGAGCTGCCTGGTCTTGCCCTGCCCTTCTGGGATTCCCACCCTCCCGGGATTCCTGCCCTCCCGGGATTCCTGCCCTCCAGCAGCTGCCAGAATCCACAGGGGAGCAGTTGGAACAGGGAATGAGCTGGTTTGCACAACTCCCCCGGGTCATCTGAGCCACCACGTCCCCAAAGTGGGGCTGGGGAAGGAGGGGTGGATTCCCTGCAGGGCTGGATCCACTCCCTCCTCCTGGAGAAGCTGCCCAGTGGATCCCATGGGTGGATCCCAGTGGATCCCAAGTGTCTACTTGGAATGAGGAGGAGCTGGGAGCAGGATCCTGCCAAGCCTCAGCTTCCAAACTACAGCACGAGTGTCCTCTGCTGGCCTGAATTCCCAAACATTGCACGGCAAAGCCCGGAATTCCCTTCCCTCCCAGGGTGGGAAGACCCGCCTTCCAAAGGCTCCGGCACGGGGAGTCAAGCAGATCCTTCTCCACAAAAACCCGAGCCAGGAGGAGGAAAAACACATCGATCCCATTGCATCCCATCCCTTATTTCAGTTTGTCCCCCCTTCTTTCCCTTCTCCCAGGATGAGGGAGGCCTCCTCCCGCCCCAGGCGGGAATACAAGCCCAAGCCCAGGGAGAGCTACGACTTCGGAGAGAGCGACCAGTCCAACGGGGGCTTCTCCTGCAACCCCACCCCCAAAGTCTCAGGTGAGGCTGTGCCAGGGCTGTGCCCTCCTCCCCCTGTGCCCCTGGAGCTGCTCTGTTTGCCCGGGAAGGATGGCTCTGGATGTGGCCCTGGAAAACGTCAGGAATGCCTCTGGATCGGGCTGGGGGCTCTCGGGGCAGGACAGCCTTTGTCGTGTTGGCTCTGGGGATGTTCCAGAGGTTTCTCCAGCCTGGGAAGTGCCCACTCAGTGCCAAGCAGGAAAAACCAAGGATCTCTCCCTCCCTCCCCTCTTCCATCCCGCT